GTGCTGCAGCGCAGCGCAGGAGGAACAAAAAATGGGACAAAAGCGGTATCGGTTAAGAGTATCGGCCGGCTTTTACGAGTACGAGTACTTGATGCTGGTATCGGTATCGGGACACCCCTATACACAGGACCTGATTAATCACTACTTGAATAGTTTTGTTCCTGTAAAGTTTGAAGTTTATTTTGATTAAAACCTAAAAGACGAGCAGAAAGACCCTCAAACCAAAAACTGTGCCTCAAACAAAACCTGATAACTAGAGAAATTGTAGCCTGGTAAAAACCAGCCCCTTGGCTTGTCCTACGCTTTGCTTCAAACAGAGGGTTTCTTTTTGGAGGCGTGGACTCTGTTGAAGTTCAAAAKGATGGGATCTGATTTACCCAAACTCTAACGTTTGGCCATGACGTACAGTATGTAGTGCGCCAGCTCGACCGTAAAGGAGGCTAAGCTAAGAAGCTAACCGGAAATTGCATGCGCTGCAAACAACCACCCCTACCGGGAAGACAGAAGTACCGAGCTGAACGACATGGCTGTAATTGAGTGCTGCAGGCTTTGTGAGACAACTTTTATTTAATTTGGAAGCCTTGTCAACACAGACTGGCTTCATTCACTTCCTCCACTGCCGTTGCTAAACTATACAGGCAGACTCTACCGGAGAAATCCTAGATGGAGCAGAGAAGCGAAACTAGAATTAAGCGGAACTACGTGGGAAGGCAAGGACCAGGCTAGAGAAATTGCATTTTCTGCAAAAATCCTGGTGTGAATGCTTCTTGCTGAAAACTTTAGTTGAAAGTTTAAATTAGATGCAAGTTCATTTAAAGCGTGAAAGAAGCATGCAAAGCTCAGATTAGCAGAAAGAAGCAGAAATTAGCAGAAGAATAGTAAAATAGCAGAAAAAAGCTCAAATTGGCGTAATAAAAAACAAAAGGTAGCAGACTAGTTAGAATTAGCTTACATATGGTGAAAGTGATGTTAAAACAAAGTTAACAGAAAAAATATAAAAAACTTGCCATTTCTTATAAAATAAAACAGCCGAAATGTGCATCAAAGCAGCTAAAATGTAGCTGAAATTGCTGACTTCAGTATAAAGAAGCAGGAGCATGTTTGCAGAACTTGGCAGAAAGAAGCTTAAATGGCATCCAAAATTTGAATGTAGCTTAAATACTAATTTTAGCTAATAACAGCTGAATAGTAGCTAAAACTGCTGCAAACGGCTGAAATAAGGAGAAAGCAACTGAAAGAAGCAAAAAAAGCTCAAATTAGCAAAGAGAAGCTAAAGACACAAAAAAGTACAATCTAGCAGAAGAATTGCTGAAATAAGTAGAATTTTAGTAATAATAGCAGAAAAAGGCTAAAGGTAACAAAAATGAAGCAAAATATAGCACAATGAAGTTAAAAAGAGCTGAAACAGAAGAAAATGTGTAAGGCGCTGTAAATATTTATGAACATTTTGAAAGTTTTTAGAAATGTTGAACTTTTTGTTTTCAACATCTCAGTTTTCAATGGGAACAATGTGGCCGACAAAGTGAACATTTTGATGAATTGTTGAAACATCACAAAAATTGCGGAATGAGAAAACATACAGAATGGGGGRAAAATGATCTCAATAATGTGAATGCTTTCAAACACAGTTAAAATATTGTTTGTTCTGAACTTCAAGGCTTTTTTAAATTAAAAGTTAAGAAGGTGAAAGGCAGCAACCAAATTATTATTATTTTTTTGTTTGTTTGTTTTCTCCAGATCCGCTCCTCCATCACCACGCTGCTCTTCAGCGGTCGAGACTTCAGCTGGGCTCGCCACATGCTGATCGCCGCCGCCATCCTGGCCTTCAACAACATGCTGGTTATCTTCGTCCCCACCATCAGGGACATCTTCGGCTTCATCGGTTCGTTCCAAACACTGCCCCGACTCCTTTTTGCACCGCCACAAATGGTAGCAAAACTTAGCCACGCCTCTCTGATAACAGATGCAGCCCTTTCGGCTGAAATGACACCTCGAAGCTAAAAATAGTCTAATATCATCATCGTCGTGCTCCACCTGCAGAGGAGTATCAAAGTGTCCTACTTTCTCTTAACGCCAAGAATGCCTCATTTGTTAGGGCTGTCAGTCTTATTTATTTAAGATTGTACTTTGAACTTTAACGAGGAAGAGCATTTTGTCATTTTTCCACTCAGGTGTAAAACATGCATCTCATTTATTGTAAGGGATTGTCAAACATGATTGTCATTACTGAAACATGATTGTCATTACTGAAAGCTTCATTAACAAGACCCATTACGTTAAATCCAGATTTAGATTTGATCAAACCAAACGAAGCACATTTTCAGATTTCTGTCTTTTTTAGCTACATTTCAATATTTAGGTCATCCTGATAGCGGTGTCGAAGATACGGCTCTAGTTGTCTTAATAAACTGGCACACCCCCGAAAAATTGGTCCAAATTCTATTTTTAAAGTATTCCAATGAGGATTTTTTTTACGTCATTTGAAAGAGGAAACCTCAAACCATATTTGGATATCAGGATTTCCCAGCTGGTATTGAAAATAGCCTCCCTGGCATGCAAAGGAAGTAGTAAAATGTCACAGTTTTTGTGCGCAAAAACATTGGTTTGGCTCAGAAAAGTGTATCAAATATTCTTTTTGAATATATTTCCTTAAAAAGRCCAATTGTTCCCTTGCGGCTAAATGAGGTTCACTAATGTCTTCTAAGGTGGATCAGATCTTTAGATGATTCTTGACCAAGTGCTTGACTTCCTCCTCTTTGTTCCAGGTGGTACCGCAGCAACAAATCTCATTTTCATCCTCCCCGCCGCCTTTTACATCCGCCTGGTGAAGTCAAAGCCGATGAACTCCTGGCAGAAGATCATGGTGAGTGTGCAGAACGGTACACCGTGTGCTGCGTTCTCATCGTATCGCCTTTCAGGGGAGCTGACACGAAAGACAGCGATGACGTTCTCCCCGAACGTGACTCCTGTGGTGGACTCGCACACACTGAATCCTTTCTTGTTTCTTTTCTCTCCAGGCGATGATCTTCCTGATTATGGGAGTTATTTTCATGTTCGGAAGCTTGACRCTCATCACCCTCGACTGGATCCACAACCCACCGGGCCACGGCCATTAAAACCCTCCTCCTCTTCCTCTGGATTCATGCCGAAGAGTCGACCCTTTCCCCACCACATGACATGACTTCTGGTTTGCTTCATTTCATTTTAATATTCCTCACATATCACCAACATTTTGGAACGTGACAAGTTCTGACGTTTATCCTGGAACATCACRCCTGAAATCCTCCTCATGATGATGATGTTTTCCACACAAAGCGCAGCCCTCACCTGAGGCGAGACTGGGAACTATGAGTGGACTCTTGGGCCTGAAAGTATGATGTCATTCTCCATCTCTCTTCTGGAATTAAGAGACATTTAGAGATGAAGTTTGTCCTCATTCGTGAAAAAAAGAAGCACTTCTAGCAATATATATTTTTACACTTTATGTGGAGATGAAACAAACACCCCCACAGGCAGAAATATACACACATATCAGCACATTTTTAAAGCGAATTTACACTAAAAAGCTCCTGTTAATTAGTAAAATTGCTTGAAAACAATCTAAAATTTGCCAAAGTCGACACAAACCGTTCATCATTGAATCAGTGCTAGAGCTTCTCAGCTGCACGCTCTCCAGGATCATCTTCGCCGTCTGTTTGCACAAGAAGCAGCGAGGGGCTTTCAGTATTACTGTTATCTAAATGCGTAGAAGAATGTACCTGACCAAGTGTATTTACTGCTAAAAGTGGCACAGTGCATAAAACCTTGGCCTTTCAAGACTGTTGTTCAGGTCGTGTGAAGTAAACGGTCATTTTTAGCAGGGCGTATGCTGGAATCATACACGAGGCATTTATTATAAAAACTGTTTAAATAGTTCTCTTTTAAAAGTCTGATTGGAGTATTTAGAAGTGATTGTAAAGGTCACCAGAAGAAGCAAACTTGAAATGGTAGATGCTGATATTTTTTATCTGTAGTAGATTTTTTTTAATATGTGCCATTTCGTTTTTCTCACTTCTGGTCTCAAAGAAATATTAAGGTCTTAAATTTTAGCCCACCTGATGTGTTTTTTTTATTTGAACAATTCAGTTTGGAAACGTAGAAGAGTAGAAAGAAATCTCTGTCTAAATTCTAGAAATGAATGCTACAATTGTAGTCAATGTTACACATGATGTTTAAGCAAAATGTGAAGCTAATGCAACAATTTAAGCTAATGCTATAAATGAAGACAAGGGACAATACTGATAAAATATTTCTTCTGTTCATCTCAGATATTGGTACTTGGATCTAATGTTGTGTTACTGTTGCAAGTCAAAAAACATTTTAAGTAAAAAAGACAAAGTTGGCTAACTGTTAAGCTCAGTAACCAGGCTAACTATTCGTAGCAAGCCAATAACAATGTAACTGTACTGGAGAACGTTCCTGCTGAAAATAGTAGCACAGTACTTTTTGTGTGTTTGATTTAATGACAGTCAAACTGACAGAAGTGAAAATAAAAATGTTATTACAGCAAATATCACCATACTGGCAGCTATATTGGTTTTTGAGGTCAGGGCTTGTGAGAAATCTCCAACTTTCTGAGTCGGARTCTCAACTCTGGGAGCCTTCTGGCTGGTTCACAATGAAAAAACTCCAACTTCCACACCACAGGGAAAGCTTTGGAAGCAGCCAAATCCTCAGGATATTTTATATAAATTTGATACAACTATCACACTACAATATTCCTCAAAAGATTTGGGTTTGAACTGTGCTTTGTTGCTTTAGCAAACTCAAACGTATATTGCATTTTATATTACTTAAAGAATCTTTGACAAACACGAAAGCAAAAATTAAATCTCTGAATCTCTGTAATCCCTTTTTTGTTTAAAACAAGGTGCCTTTATTAACATTAGCTTTAGGTACTCAATCATAAACTAGCATTGCTTCCAATTAAATCGCAGCTGTAGAACAAATTTAAATGATAAATTGTCTTGTTTAAATTGGCGTGGCTAACTTAGCCACAGCTTAACATTAGCTTCTTATTTAGCTTTAAAAAAAATTCATCCTTTTTCTGAACAAAATCCCAGCTAGCAAAAAATGCTAAGTACACTTTAAAACAAAAACAATTTTTAAAAAGTGCCACACAAAATAAGTTAGTCTTAATAGGGTTTTTTGTTTTGTTTTGTTTGTGTTTTACTTTTATATCTAAGCTCAGGCAAGTTATCCAGTAGTCAACTTAAATTTTAAAACCTTTTAATCAGATTTTTTAAAGGAATTATGATGCAAATCCTGCATTTTAAATTGTGCCTTTTGGTCRTCATTCTTTATATCGGGCCTCTGATAAAAGTGTCTTTAAGTAGAACAGCTGAAGAACCTCAAATTGGACCCCTTTTATCCAGAATCCTTGAGCCTTTAAAAGTGTCATGAACACATTTAGCCAAAGTGGACAACATTTATAGATCCTTTGTGGATCTAAGTACGTAAAACAAATGGATTTTTCATTGAAATGGTGTTTTATGTGTGTGTTTTTGGACTACAGTCTATAATTGTAATCTAATTATATATGTTGTAAATAATCTGTATTTTATGGTACACTGAGAGTTGAGGCCTTAGAGTGGGTTTTGGGGGTATTGTACTTGAGAAGTATTGTACAATCAAGTGTTTGTTTTGGTGTATGTATTATATATATATATAT